AATACTTTCCCTTAGTTGACTTGGTTGTTGTAGCTCCACTTCTTTGTCTTTGAAATACCGAGCTTTTCCAAGACTTAGTCTCCATGTGAAACGTCTCGCTAAAGATTCCCATGATGTCAGTGTCTTCTTATTAGCTTATGGGTTTTAACTTCTTTCTCAATGTGTGTGTGTGTGTGTGTGTGTGTGTTTGTGAGTGATCTGATGTCTTTATTACAAACATTTAGTCATCTTTTTCTTGGCTTCAGATTTTTTGTCAAGATCCTTGTCACATCCAACCCATCGGTTGGATGTTTTGTAGCAAATTTCTCGACTTCGGTTATTTAGGTTGGGTTAGTTAATGTTAGGTTTAGATAGGTTAGATTGCCCTCTTGTCATTAAAAATTAATTAATTAAAATGTATCACAACGGCAATGTACCGAATATATAGCAAAGGTGATGAAAATTATTGACGCACGAACATAAAAGAGAGACCTGACGAGCGCAGTGGAACTGTCAGGTAATCGTTGTTTGACTGGTTAAACAGTCACCCACTTGGCTGTCATAGCAATAAAGATATACAGACTAAGAAAATAGGCTGTCACATTGGCTTCGATCGCCTTTACATTGGGAGAGTAGTTGTAAAACCAACAGCTGATGAAGACATTATGGCTGAATGGAAATATTTATTGGGACAACATATCACTTAAGAGACTAAGTACATGGTAAGCATAAGTAAAATAGCAAGTGACGATAAGACGTGACGTGTGAACCTGACCTGTGTCCGGTCAGGAAAACTGTTTGATGAATAAAGTGCGAGTCTGGAGTCTAATCAGCTGGAAACTTCCCTGGTTCTGGGCAGTGTCTAGTATGAATGAGAGCCGATTCAAGGCATTTTCTTCAGTTTCTGTCTCCTCGGATGATCATGGTTTGACCTGGGCCAATCCATGTAGTGAGAGGCCGTGTATATGATGTGAAATATGGGGGGAATTGATGTTATGAGTGCGGGAGGCGTGTATTTTCTCTACCCTGTCTCATTCATTTATACTTAATTGCCTCCATTCTCCTCGGAGCTAGAGTTAACCCTCGTAGTTCTAGTAATGTCCTTGATAACGGTGGAGGCGGCGGTGGCGGTGACGTTAATGGCTTTCTTAAGTAAGCCATTTACATTACTTAGAAGCGTTCTCAAGCTCTGTGAAAGTAGGGAAGATTAAAAAGCGATTACTGTTGGTATCGTCTCTCGGAGTGTTAATTATTCTTTGTGCTTTCCTTCTACAGTATCACATGAAGGTGGAAGGAAAATGTAAAGGCAAATTGGGGCTGCATATTCTGAAAGCTTCAGAAAGAAGCCCAACGGAAGACGTTTCCTGTTTCCAGTGGAGTGGTGAGGCCAGAAGTGAATGAGATCATTATTGTTGGTGGATTTGCAGTACACGCTAAATTGATGCGAGTTGCTATTAGTGTTTTTTGTCTAAAAACATCGAGGAGAGGAAGATTGTTGTTGTTGTTGTTGTTGCTTGTAGTCGCGACGATCTCAGCAAGGCATGAAGTGGAGCTGGTAACTAAGGAGGACGACATGCACCGGCATATTTGTTTCAGGCAACATTGATATCAATATTGAACACTTGTCAAACAGAATTCTTGGAATTTTGGCATATCCGAAACTCTGGCTAGGATTATCTTACCTAACCAGGACACAGCGATCAGGTGACGCGGACTTCTGCCACGCCCCCTTTAGCTTCATCAAGTGACCTCTCCTTACTATACATGCTATATTTCTTGTTCTCCCTGTATTAAGATGAAAAAAAAATACCAGTGGCAAAGCGTAAACTTTAATAAAAAAAAATCGTGCATGTTTGCCTTGAATTCCACATTGTCAACATTATCATACCTTTACCCTTAGTGAATGAAATATCTACCTTACACTCCTTGTAATTGTTTTCTCATTATTAAATACTATTAGAAGTATATGCTTCTGGTTTTTGGAAAATGACGGGATGAAAGTCGCAATTTAGAAATAGGCCGACCTCACAACCATGCTCTAGATCAAACCTATCATAAGACAACTTACTAAACCATAAAGCCTAAAGTAACACAACTTATCATTCCTTAAGTAACTTGACTGCACCTCAATACTACCTATTTTTAAACGTTAATACTGTGGTATATGACGGTATAATTTGCTGGCGCCGCACCTTTTATTGATAAGAAATATATTAAAACAACTCCTAGCAGTGTTTGATTTAAAAACATTGAAAAGAACTACTTTATAATATGATAATGGGGCATCCAGAAGGTATAAAATAATGCAGCTGCATAAAAACATGATTTATTCCCAAAATGCAGACGAGTCTCTTACGTTTCTGTATATGAATGTTTCAGTGCAATAAGATCATAGTAAACAGGTGAAATAATACTATGTTAAACAACTACTGTGAAAACAATAGTGAGCTTCCTAGCGCTTTCGCAATTTCTCACATTATCAAGGAATTATCTATGGTTCCTTGATAATGTGAGAAATCACGAAAGCGCTTGGAAGTTCACTATTCGTTTCACAGAGGTTGTTTTGCATGACTGTTTAAATGTTTCTTTGGTTGTCCTTGAATCTTCCCGCCACACTTGCCATTCTCTCTCCTCACACCAGTGTGATGCGCCGCACCCTCTGGGAACCCCTGCATTAAAGGATGAGACCAGGTTCAACAACTTTGGACATAGGTAACGTGAACATGCCTGTTGTCCTAAAACTTCGGTCCTCGTTAACGTACATAAATGTTGGAAATTTGATGACGATTGGACGAGACGTTCTCGTCCAATCGTCAATAAAATCGGAAAGTTGGAGGAAGGAAAAACAAAGAAAAAAAAATTAGGCAACCTCTTAAAGGTAGACCGTCGAGGATGCTTAATAAAATGTCTCGACTCGCAGTGATCTTGTCCTTGACAACGAGACATTGAATGTTGACGGCGGTAGAACGTGTGTCTAGTGTTTTCTTAATATCACTCCGTTAGTTGGATACGGTACCGTCTCCGTATTTATTGGAATGTGTATTTGGTCAAATAGTTAGTATTTAATTTAGTTTGGTTATTCTGTAGTGTTATGATTGTAGACCCGTTTAAAAGTTAATTTAAAAAATACGGTTTACGTTAATAGTTCTTTAAATTGGCATTTGTCTGTTGAGAATGATTTATTGTTTATTAAAAAACTGGATACATCAGCAGTACGTGCTGTGTCCCTATTCTATATCATAATTACTCAGTGAGAACAAAAGCTAGCTGTGTTTCCTTGTTATATTCCATCACACAGGATGGGGAGAGAATGAAATCCCTCTCAGTGAAGGTTCCTTGACACCAGTGAAGGGCTTTTGATCCAAGAATGTGCACCTAATGCACCCTTCCTTAGGTCGATTCTGATTCTCTCATGACCCCTACAGATTTAGCGCTACATGTATGTCATAATTCGTGAGAACGGAGGGAGGGAGGTACGGATAGGTGTTGATGAGTGTTGTCAGCGGTGATGGCGGTCTGGGTGTATATAATCTGTGAGCAGCAGAGAGGAACGCAGTACAAGTGGGTGACGCGTCTCGACATTCCTTTCCTAAGTGTGAGCAATGTGGGAACACAGGTGGTAGGCTGTTTTCTCCTCCCACCCGTCTACCCCACCACCCCTGTCATGCCTCCCTCAGGACATACCCTACTAGGAGGGGCAGCCACGGCACACGTGACACTCAGACACGCATATGAACCACAAGGAAGTTTGGAAACATTTTCATGGTGGTAAAGGAAGGAACCAGAGGTGGAGGCAAACACGACAGTTGTATAAGTATGTATGTTAAGTAAAAGAACACGTGAACAACTAAAGGTTATTACGTCAACAAAGAACACAAAGGCACACTACTGTGACTTGAACAATACAAAAATAACCCGCACATAGGAGAAAGAAACTTTTGACGATGTTTCGGTCCGACTTGGATCGAATTATTTGTGTATTACGTCAACATTTCGCTCTTAGGATCTTTATCAAGCTTGATAAAACTCCTGAAAAGCGAAACTTGGCCATAACAAATATCTCATTAATTGTTCTTGTGTCGTCGTGCTTAACGTTCTCTCGGTAGTATTGTGAATATTTATGAGAAAAGGTATGATCATGCCCTCGAGGTCAGAAACCGGCAAAGTCAATTGATACGGGCTATGAGGCAGGGCCAGGAGCTATTACTCGACACAGCTATGCAAGCAACTGGTTGGCGAGTCCCTACACTATCAGTGAGTGTCTCAGCAGGTTGCAACCGTATATGTATAGTATACAGTACCGACAGAATGAAGAATTAGACATATATAAAGATACCCAGATGTTGCACAGGTGGCAGCCCCAGGGTGGTGAGGCGCGGGGGCGTCGGAGGCAGACATCTTACTAAGAATTGAGTAACGGTGTACACTACATTGCCTCAGGCTAACCCTGTCACTCCCTCCTAACTGACTCACCCTCTTTTTATCCTCCTTCTCAATTGGTTGCAATTGCTCTTCCAGCGAGGGAGTGTTAGGCAACTTGCTGCTCTGCTCCATCCACCATCTGATTATCTCTCCTCTTTTAAACTTGTCCTAGCACGTAGTCATAAATTGAGGGATTGATTGAGGATGTTGCCCTTCGGAGGCTAACTTGAACCTTGATGTCCGGGCACTTATGCCAGATTTCTTATTATGGAATAAGTGAAGGTAGATATATTTCCTCCTCTGGGTATTATATACGAATAACTCGCGTTCAGTAATGCTGAAATAACACGAATATTTACTTTCTAACTCGAGACTTTCCTTAGCCTGAGGAGAGTCCCTAGTTAGAGCGAAAATATTCACATTATTTCAGTGCTATTTAATGTGGGTTATTGGTATATGGTGTATGTTTGGTTTGTGTGTGGGTAGGAGGAGGTGGTGGTGGTGGTGGTGGCTTTAAGACGTTCCGCTGCTCACATAGTATCCTTGACCTTGATGAGCTCTATTCATCTGTCCTTCATACTTTTTTTTTTTTTTTGCAGGTGCGTCTGCCTTTAATTATCTACTCCACATGTGATGATCAAACAAGAAACTTTCCAGGGTTCGGCTTCACTCAGCTGACTAGGTGATATTGTAACCACCACTACAAGCAATATTGAAACTTGGCAGACTACCACGCTAACGTATCTTTGGTAGCCTCGAACGGTCATCATAACCTGTGTCAGAACGCTGTGCTGGACGGATAATGTATACAATATTTATACATATATAAATTGAATTGTCTGTATTTGCTTGATAAAGCTGGAGAGGGAAACTAAATGTAATCAATTTTATTAATTGCTTTTGTGTTTTATTAACATAAAGCAATTTAGTGTTTGTTCATATAGAATGTGAAAAAGACCAGTAAGCAGAAATCTGAGGCCTTTAGGTAACATTGGGTTTACGGGTCTTTAGTAGGTATGTCCCTGTTGGCGGGTGACGGTTTCTGGTCCTGTTCAGACCTTGACGGCATCTTCCTAGCTCTATTCAAGAAATTTTATTTTTTTCTCGACTAAGTGCCAGTATCATTTAGTAGGTCCTCCATCATGCAGCTTTCTTGAATAAAGCTACGAAAATAGTCAAGGTCCGAGCATGGCCAGAAATTATGCCATCTGTCGCCTATCACCCCCCAACAGGCACACATCTACGGTCTACCTAAGACGTATAAACCCAATATTTCTCCTGGGTCCTTCACCTTGGAAAATGGAAGCTCGCCACGCAGATTGCCAAGTATATTGGCCAAGAGTTAGTTGCTGGGCACCTAGAACCACTCCACTCTTCGTCATTCTGACGACCTCGTCGCTAGACTTGAAAACATTTCCTTCTGAAATAAGATGACAAGACTAAAAGTTACTTTCCTGTCTATACTGGTACAGATTGACGAGTTAATCAGTTGTCTACGAAACAACCCTGACCAGTTGAGCTTTAGTTTGTTCTTTGGGAAAGTTAGCTCCAAGCAGAAGTTCGACCTAGCAGTGGAACCACTTATAAGTACTATGCTAGTCAACTTTTATATACTTAGAGCACTATTACACGACACATTTGGTTAAAATGTATTGACGATGTTTTGATCATCGTACCTGAATGATTGCATTTGCGGAACCTCCAAGAATAACAAAATGAGGTGGAACTCGAGGGTAAAACCATGTACCAATAAAGAACTCGTATTGAAATCTATGTCAATACCATTGGTCGGTATTACGCTTCCAGTTTGCTACAGTTTCCATTCTGCTTATGATGTGTATACTACCACCTCTGTATTGCATTGATAAATTCATTAGTAAACGAAACGTCCCAAGTAAAGCTACCCAGATGTTGCACATGGGTTTTATTCATCAACAGTGTGTGTTCTGTAAGATTCATTGTGGTGCTGACTAGTGGCTTCCGTCTCTCCTCTTGTCTGTCACCTGCACCTGCAGCCCCGCCCTCCTTCCTGCCTCCCCACCTGTCCTCAGCCTCTCTAGCCCACCACATGGTCTCAGCCTCTCGGCAGTCCTTTATCCTCTTAATTATAAATAGGTTACTGAATGGCTAGCCGATACATTACCCATTATCCTACAATTAGTTATGCTTATGCAGATTTCAGCATTTCTTGGGGTTGCTCCAGTCACTGCGTTATTAGCGCCGAGGCTGTTTTATATTTTATTATGGTTAATTACACCTTTTTTTTTGTTTACGTAACCTAAAACAACCTAAACTATCCAAGGCTAACCTTACTTGACCTGATCTAACCAAACTTGACCCGCAACCCAACTTAACCGAATACTACACTAATGAATCAGCTGGAGCTTAGTTTGGTAAATTCCTCTGAAACGCCATTCCTTCCTCCCTATTTTATTCGCTCTGATACTTGATCTGTAAATCAAAACTGTTGTTTATAATGTAAGATGAGGTGAAGGTTAGCCGGCGTTGATAGTGTAATGTGAGGACAAGTGTGTGTACGTAGTGTGAGGAGGACAAGTGTGTGTACGTAGTGTGAGGAGGACAAGTGTGTGTATGTAGTGTGAGGAGGACAAGTGTGTAGTATGATAAGGTGGATGTGTCCGGTGCTGGAAGAACATTACACCTGCTTGACAGCCTCTTGTGCTGCACTTGCCTACCCGGATCTTATATTGGTCATTTGTATACACTTGATGTTCTGTTCAGTAGTGCTGGAGCATCTCGTTACTCGGTTAAGGTTTAGCTTGTGGAATAATGAGGTGGTCAGTAGAACTGGTTCCTCGGGAGAGGCTTATCGTTGATCCTGCTGATCTAGTTTATTTTTTCTTGCGCGCAAAAGCCAACACTACCTTGAGCAAGTCGTAAGTTGGTGTGCTGTGCAGAATGTTGAACACGGGCTGTGGTGTAGGGGCAGGGTGGGGTGGCTGTGGCATTGGGGACTGTTGTGGGGGCAAGATGGTGAAGGGTCAACGTGGTGTGAGGGCTGTTGTGTGTGGGGGGCTGTTGTGGTGTGTGGGGGGGCTGTTTGTGTGTGGGGGGGGGCTGTTGTGTGGTGTGTGTGGGGGGCTGTTGTGTGTGTGTGTGGGGGGGCTGTTGTGTGTGTGTGTGGGGGGGCTGTGTGTGTGTGTGTGGGGGGCTGTTGTGTGTGTGGGGGCTGTTGTGTGTGTGGGGGGGGCTGTTGTGTGTGTGTGGGGTTGTGTGTGTGTGGGGGCTGTTGTGTGTGTGTGGGGGGGGCTGTTTTGTGTGTGTGGGGGCTGTTGTGTGTGTGTGGGGGGGGGCTGTTGTGTGTGTGTGTGGGGGGGCTTGTGTGTGTGTGGGGGGTTGTGTGTGTGGGGGCTGTTGTGTGTGTGGGGGGGCTGTTTGTGTGTGTGGGGGCTGTGTGTGTGGGGGGCTGTGTGTGTGTGTGGGGGGGCTGTTGTGTGTGTGTGGGGGGCTGTTGTGTGTGTGGGGGGCTGTTGTGTGTGTGTGGGGGCTGTTGTGTGTGTGTGGGGGCTGTTGTGTGTGTGGGGGGGCTGTTGTGTGTGTGTGTGGGGGGCTGTTGTGTGTGTGTGGGGGGGGCTGTTGTGTGTGTGTGTGGGGGGCTGTTGTGTGTGTGTGGGGGGGGCTGTTATGTGTGTGTGGGGGGGCTGTTGTGTGTGTGGGTTGGGATACTTTGTTGTTATTTTATAATCATGTTTACTTTCCCAATGTTTGTTGACGGTACGAGGGGCCACAAGCCACTTCTACACTAACATCAGGAATACATTAATTCTTAACTCCTAGAATAAAAATTTAAATAGGCTCTGTGAAAGATATACATATCTTGGTGAATGTACGCTACCGTCAAGGGCACTCCTGTCTCTACACACTGCTTTTATTTTGCGAACTCTCCCAACCTTCAAGATGTTCTTAATGAAACATACTGGGGAGATATTAAATAACATGGATCCGAACCAGTGTCTTAAAAGAAAGTATACTAAAGGTATATTCCCCTAAGGAAAAAGAAGAGAAGATGCAAACTGGACAGAGATGCTCCCTCTACAGGGGGAGGCAAAGAATCACTGAGCTTCTCCAGTAGGGTCTAGACTGTCCGAAATGCGGAAGAAAGCACTGACTACGGAAGTAGAAAATATTGAACATAAATTATTTATACAGGATCCAGGAGAGATAGGAGCAGCTAAAAGCAATTAATGAATTTTAAGAAATCCAAAATAGTTTTTCATATTCCAAAAGCAAGGCATAAAACCACATCCAGTATCAGGCCCTTGCTCAAACAAGATGGGACTTACACGGACGACAGCAAAGAAAGGAGTTGAGATACTGAAGTCTCAGTATGACTAATGAGCTATTAATCGGATTAAAGATCGACAGTTCAAATGAATTTCTCATGAACGAATATCAAAACCTTGTCAATATATACCAAATTTCTAACACTCCCTAAATCCACTGGACTTAGAACAAGCCATCGACAACATACCTATGCATTCTGCCCCAGTTCCAGACTCGTGGGACTCCGTGTTCATCAAGAACTGAAAGAAACTCCTTTCGCGTGCCTGTAGTATGCTATGGAGAGGGAGTCTGGATACGGGTGTCATCCCACAGTCGCTAAAAACAGCGGATATAGTCCCACTACTGCGGCCAACAGTAGAAGCTTGATTGATCACGCCTTGATCCACTAGGAGGCCTGGTCGAGGACCGGGCCGCGACGGCGTTGATTCCCGGAAAAACCTCCAGGTAGGTAGGTATATATGAAGAAAAGAGAAAAAAATGGAGAAATCTTTCAGGTTATGCGGTCACTGGAACAAACATTATAGATAAAAAAAAATCGTATAACTTTGACGAGTAATCTAATTTCTTCGATCATTTAAAAGTATTTTAACTTATCTGGTACGCAGTCAAACATTTCTAAACAGTTTAGATAAGTTTGTGATTACTGAGACGAGCGTGGGTAGAGAACCTCCAGACAGCGTGAAGCTGTGGCACTGTTTATGTAATCAAAATTATTTACTTAAAAGTTCCGTGGTTACTTTCTTTCCCTAGGAGTATTACTACATTTATCCAGGTCGAACTGCTTGCGGCACTGTACCGATTACACCCAAGTGTAGGTTTGTGTGTGGCGTGCGCGCACGCGAACAATAAAATCATAAGAAATTTGTAATACCTTAATATGCAATATAATCATAGTGAAGGATAATTAAATTTCGAGTGTTTTCACTATCTCTCGAATACATCCTCAGGGAATAATAAAGGCAATAAAGTAAAGGGTGTAGAGATACACCATACACGAGGATGCAACATTAAAAGTAGTATATATTAGGGCTTGACAAAGTCAGAGGTGTAGTCTCTCACTCGTGACTGACATGTCAAACAATAATGAGTGTCCAAGTAACTTAGTCGGGGTCAAGAACTGCGACTTCTTCAAAGATCAAACGATAAGTATCAATAGTCAAGCGCTATACTGAGTTGTTTGGAGACGAGGGAAGAGGATGGGAGGTACTGTACTTAGCGAGACAGGTAGCGGGAGGCTGGTGTGAGCTTCGTGGGAAGACAGCGGTTCCTTCCTTGCAGTACTTCCGGGGATCAAAGCCCTACCGCCCGGTGTGTGACCAGTCCGCAATGGCGGCTGGTCAGGGATGATTTATAGGAACGTAACATGTTCTCTCTATTTGTTATTTCCCTTTCATTTGATGGAAGATATTGAAAATGCTTTGACCCTTACACTTAATGAGTTAGCTGTGTTACCACCCTTGTTGTTCACTGGGTTATTGTACACCGACTCCCGAGCTTCCCACTCGCAAAGGAAGTAATTTTAATGTGCGGATTGGGAAACAGCCTCTACTGCTTTCCTGATATAAATTATAATGCATCTCTCCACGTAACGTTCCATGAAGTACAGTTTGAGGGAATCCCGGAGCTTCCAGTAATTCGTGCAGGTAAGACATTTACAATAGGTACATTTATTCCGAAACTTTTCGCCTCTACAGTAGGCTTCGTCAGTCGAGTACAGAGGTGGCAAATATGGAGACCACATAAGCAGTTAAGAAGTAAAGGTGGTGTGATCAGTCCATTAACCTTGAAGTAGAAGTTTGAGGTGGTCAGTCCCTCAGCCTGGAGATGTGTTCAACTTAATGGTCTTGAACAGTGTGAATCTACTTGTTAGTATTTTATACCATTATTATATTAATAATTTGTGTGTTTGAATTCGTATGGGTAGTGAAAGATGTCTGTACAATTCTCCAGATATCGTTTAACCTGCCTTAAATATGCTGCTAGTATATACTGCCCTCTACTCGCTGCTAGGTGAAAAGTTACTACAATAGAATGTGTCCATATATGCTGCCGTAGCTGAATTGCTTATTTTCGTATTTAAACAGATCTGGTGAGAACGTTGGGTTCAGTATTTGTAAGCATGTAACGTCTCATCCAAGTAGTGTGGTAAACATACTTGTCAGAATAATAAATAGATCGTGCCACTACTAGTTTCAAGTGCGTCTGCACTTTAAGTGTGAAGCGTTAAGTTTTGATGGAGAGTGTGAGGAATGGTGTGTGATGTGAATACATCGTGAGTGATTGTGTACTCAACTAGTTGTACTCGCCTAGTTGTTTTTGCAGGGTTTGGAACATAACTCTTAGCCCCGCCTCTTTCCCTCTTATCGACACATCACTGATTTCTGCCTTCCAAGCCCAATAATATTTCTTGAAACTGTGTATAGTAGGGGTCCCCAAAGTGTGGCCCGAAGGCCGCATGTGGCCCTTCTAGGAAATGGATGTGGCCCTCACGTGAAACTATGAATTCACTTTTGTGCAAGTTCCACACTGCACAGTGTCAACAAATACAAATTATTATTATTATTATTTATTATTATTATTATTATTCATAAAAATTACAGAAATTATAAAATGTGGCTCGCCCTTAAAGTTGACTTTTCAAATTGGTCCTTTCCTACTAAAATATTGGGGAGTGACTGGAGAGTGTACGTCTCCAACACCGCTTTTCATCTACTGCCAGGCCGTCCAGGTTTTTACATAAATCTGTGTGTACGTACTCGCCTAATTGTGGTTGCAGGGGTCGAGAGACTGCTCCTGGCCCCGCCTCTTCACTGAACGCTACTGGGTCCCCCCTCTCCGCTCCATGAGCTTTATCATACCTCGTCTTACAACTATGTATGGTTCCTGCCTCCACTACATCGCTTGCCAGACTATTCCGCTTCCTAACAACTATGTGGCTGAAGAAATACTTCTTAACATCCCTTTGACTCATCTGAGTCTTCAGCTTCCAATTGTGACCCGTTGTTTCTGTGTCCCATCTCTGGAACATCCTGTCTCTGTTTACGTTGTCTATTCCACGCAGTATTTTGTATGTCGTTATCATGTCTCCCCTGACCCTCCTGTCCTCCAATGTCGTCAGGCCGATTTCCTTTAACCTCTCTACGTGGACATTCCCCTTAGCTCTGGAACCAGCTTTTTTTGCAAACCTTTGCACTTTCTCCAATTTCTTGACGTGTTTGACCAGGTGTGGGTTCCAAACTGGTGCTGCGTACTCCAGTATGGGCCTGACGTACACAGTGTATAAATGCCTTGAACGATTCCTTACTGAGGTACCGGAACGCTATTCTCAGGTTTGTCAGGCGCCCGTATGTCGCAGCCGTTATCTGGTTAATGTGTGCTTCTGGCAACGTACTCGATATTATACTTACCCCTAGATCTTTCTCCTTGAGTGAGGTTTGCAGTCTTTGACCGCCTAGCCTATACTCTGCGGTCTTCGCCCTTCTCCGATCTTGATGACTTTGCATTTGGCAGGGTTAAATTCTAGGAGCCAGTTGCTGGACCACGTATCCAGCCTCTCCAGGTCTCTTTGTAGACCTGTCTGTTCCGCATCTGATTTAATTCTCCTCATTAACTTCACATGATCTGCAAACAGGGACACTTCTGAGTCTATCCCTTCCGTCATGTCGTTCACGTGTGTGTGTGTGTGTGTGTGTGTGTGTGTGTGTGTGTGTGTGTGTGTGCGTGTGCGTGTGCGTGCGCGCGCGCAGGGAGGGGGGACCGCTTGAATCTTCTATTGTTCAAAAAATAATTATTTTTTTAGCAGTATTGTAATATATAAAAATAGCTTAATTGACCGTGTCAGTACAAGTGTGGACAATCATGAGTCGGGTGCTATTCATTGATCAACTTCTGCTAACTAATATGATAAATTCCAAAATTCTTAGGTGGTCAACACTCCTCAATCCGGTGGGCTGCAATCGGCCCGGGGTTCACCTGTTGAAAGTTCTCAGCACAATGTGTTCCACTTGGTCACGTCCTAAGACTGAAAGTATACTTTTCAACATCTAGGTGTGTGCCAAAGTATATCTGTATCGTTATCGGTGGGTGTCGGCCTGAAACGAACTAGATATCGACAAAAAAAAATTTGATGTCCCTTCCCTGCTAACTGTCTCTCTGGCTCATCCCTTTTTACCTGCCATCTCTGTCCATGACTTTCAAACAGCCTGTCCCTAACCAATCTATCTAATCCTGTGATTATTTTATGCGTTGCGATCATGTCTTCCCAGGTCCACTTTAAGTCTTATTAGTTTGAGTTCCTTAAATCTCTCTTGAAAATCGCTCCTCCTCTTGCTCGTGTTTGTTTCAATGCAGGACTTCGTATTTTCTCTTTCTTTATATGTTTTGGTACTGTTGACTTTGTGAGTAATTGTGTGTGGTACCTTGGCAATGTGTGTGTGTGTGTTCACTTAATTGTAGTTGCAGGGGTCGATTCATAGCTCCTGGTCCCGCCTCTTCGCTGGTCGCTACTCCATGAGCTTTATCGTATCTTCTTAAAGCTGTCTATGGATCCTGCCTCCACTACATCACTCTCCAGACTGTTCTACTTCCTGATAAGTCTGACTGAAGAAGTACTTCTTAACATTCCTGTGACTCATCCGAGTTTTCAACTTCCAGTTGTGACCCCTTGTTTCTGTTACATTTCTGAAACATTGTCCCTATCCACTTTGTCCATTCCTCTCAGTATTTTATATGTTATCATGCCCTCCCCATACCTCCTGTCCAGTGTTGTCAGGTGTGTGTGTGTGGGAGTGAGAGGGGTATCTTATGAGAGCTGCTGAATTAGAGATAAATAGAGATTGAACATGTGGCAGCCTTAGCTGTGGATATTTAGATACTGCGCAGCAGGGACACTGGGGACACGAGGATGTAACGTAATAATGACAGCAATTTTCATTCCTCTGTTGAACACAAGACAACCAGGACAAGCCTACTGGGAGAATAACATTAAACAAATGCTGATAGAAACAATGCAAAAATCGAATCAAAGGGAGACGAAACTACCGATTAGGTAGGATTTTAAACATAAAAATATTAGGCGAACTTGATGGAATTTTCCAGAGGACCGGAAATGTGGAGAGAAAAACTGACGGAGGCAGTAATGAGAAATTTCAATACAGATTGTTAAAGATTGCACACGGATACGAGGAGAGGACAAACCAGCCATTTAGATCTGCTGTGTTGACTGTTTAGAGGCGGGGGATGGAGAGAAGCCAGGTAAACGCGCACGCGCACATGCAGGGAAAAGAGTAAGCTGACAAGAAAGGTGATTATGCAAGCCTGAGAGGACTTGTATGTGGAAGTACCTACCTCTTGATTTCCGGAGTCACTGCCCCCACCGGCCTGGTACCGGATAAGGTATCCTGGTGTGCAGTCAAGCTGTTTGTGCAGGCAGCAAGTAGGCTTGCGTAAGCACCACAACCCGGCTAATCAGGAACCTATGAATCAAAAATTTTATTTTCACAAGTTTTTATTAAGAAAATTTCCTGTATATTTATGTTTTCTTCACTGTTGTCGGCAATACACCATTTTGATCAGGGTGGGAGGGAGGGAGGAAGGGAAGGAGGGAGGGAGGGTAGGAGGGTGGGGGAGGGGGTTGGGAGGGGAGGGAGGGAGGGAGTAGGAGGGAGGGGGTTGGGAGGGAGGGAAAGGTGAGTGTGAGAGAGAGACCTGAGACAGTGTGACACTGTCAGCCTGTGTCTCCCACCACTACCTTCGTACAGCAGTGAACGGCTCTTGATCCATGGGAATTTAGCTGCCCTTCCCGCCCCTTGGACCGAACCTGATTATCTTCGATTACCTAGGCGCTGTATGACCCTTACGTGTTTAGCTCTTTCCCCGTGAATGTAATAAAAATAGTTTAACAACTGTCTCTTCAATCAACAGGGAGGTCTGGACCCAGGCCCGGCCTCGATAGCAGAAAAAAATCTGGAAACCGATCGCAGATAAATCACAATAAACTTGCCCGCCTATTACCGAGAACATTTGTAGTTAAAATTACTACGGGTCCTCCGCCACACAGTTTATACTGGCGGTAGTTTGTGTCAGCACTTGTTAACACTATAATTTGCAGCTAGTCATAAATAAACCAGAGGTGAATCACAGCATGAGGCATACATGAGAAAGCTGGATTCGCTCAAGCAGAGGTGGTAGTGGGTGGCTCGTCAACAATTCCACCAGAAACCACAATAAGTGTCCGGGGCCCAAGACTGGTCAACAGCCTCCCACCAGCCATAAGGGGAATTAAAAATAGACCCCTGGTTGTCTTCTAGAGGGAGCTGGACAGATACCTAAAGTCAGTGCCGGATCATCCGCGCTGTGGTTCGTACGTTGGACTCCATGCGGCCTGCGGTAACAGCCTCGGTGATCAGGCCCTGATCCATCAGGAGGCTTGGTCATGGACCGGGCCGCGGGGGCGTTGATCCCCGGAATACCCTCCAGGTAGGCAGACCAGTACCAGTGTTGCGAAGCCGTTGCATAAATACTGTGGCAGTTTCACCGTGAAGAATGTGTGGTGTTGTACCCGCAGGCTGGCCACTGGAGCAGCCTCAAGCATGTGTAGTGGTGAGCTCGGCACGGGTCTCGACACTACTCACCCTTACTGCTGCTGCTTCTGCTGCTCCTACTGCCTGTTCTGCTACTGCTGCCTTTTCTACTACTGTTCTACCGCCTGTTCTGCTACTGCTTGTTCTGCTGCTGATCTTACCAATGCTATCGCCGCTGCCGCCACCACCACCACCACGTCTAGTCCGAGAGTGGACTGTAGAGACGATGACTCCCTGAAACATCAACAGGTAGCATATCGTAGATCATACCAACTTTGTCTAGTTTTGAAGAAATACATTACTCGGTACTTTTTGTCTCTGCATAGATGCCGGAGGAAGTATAATTATTCTGCTAGTAATTCAGCTAAAAATTTCCGGTATTTTGTGTGTAGATGTGTTGACGTGATGTAACTTGGTCAGTGAGACACTTGTGCAACGTTTGGAAATCTATATTCTGGAAACTTTTCGCCACGCAGTGGCTTCTTCAGTCCAATGCAGAGAAAGTTGGAAGATGAGAAGTTTGAGGTAATCAATCCCTTAGCCTAGAGCCGATGTGTTCACTTCAATCTTGAATGATGGACTGAACATAAGTGTCTCATTTATCAACTTGTCGCCATTTGAAACCATTTATACAGAATGTGATGTAATGTGCTACCAAGAATGTGAGAGCAACACTGTCTACCTAACAGGACAACTATTTCCACCACCACGAGTGAAACCCACAGATGTGAACGTTGCGCATTTTTTTTCGGCTTGCACGGTGTATTGCAGCTATTTTTGTAATTTGCTTATTTCTGGTTTAAGTATAAGTTTTCATAAGTTTGTTGCATAACCGAACCAATTTAGCCTAATCTAATCTTATTTAACCGAAGTTAATTTAACCTAATTTAAAATAAAAAAACGACATTTGAGGATGAATTGGAAGCGTTAAGAAATGGACGGTGGTCGCAAGGTATGTTGAGTGTGTTAGTGAAGCTAGGGAGCTCTCAGGTTGTGTTGAGTGTGTTAGTGAAGCCAGGGAGCTCTCAGGTTGTGTTGAGTGTGTTAGTGAAGCCAGGGAGCTCTCAGGGGGGGTTTTGTTGAGCTGTGTTATTTTGTGAAGCCAGGGAGCTCTCAGGTTGTGTTGAGTGTGTTAGTGAAGCCAGGGAGCTCTCAGGTTGTGTTGAGTGTGTTAGTGAAGCCAGGGAGCTCTCAGGTTGTGTTGAGTGTGTTAGTGAAGCCAGGGAGCTCTCAGGTTGTGTTGAGTGTGTTAGTGAAGCCAGGGAGCTTTCAGGTTGTGTTGAGTGTGTTAGTGAAGCCAGGGAGCTCTCAGGTTGTGTTGAGTGTGTTAGTGAAGCCAGGGAGCTTTCAGGTTGTGTTGAGTGTGTTAGTGAAGCCAGGGAGCTTATCAGGTTGTGTTGAGTGTGTTAGTGAAGCCAGGGAGCTCTCAGGTTGTGTTGAGTGTGTTAGTGAAGCCAGGGAGCTTTCAGGTTGTGTTGAGTGTGTTAGTGAAGCCAGGGAGCTCTCAGGTTGTGTTGAGTGTGTTAGTGAAGCCAGCGAGCTTTCAGGTTGTGTTGAGTGTGTTAGTGAAGCCAGGGAGCTTTCAGGTTGTGTTGAGTGTGTTAGTGAAGCCAGGGAGCTCTCAGGTCAGGTTGTGTTGAGTGTGTTAGTGAAGCCAGGGAGCTCTCAGGTTAGGTTGTGTTGAGTGTGTTAGTGAAGCCAGGGAGCTCTCAGGTCAGGTTGTGTTGAGTGTGTTAGTGAAGCCAGGGAGCTCTCAGGTTGTGTTGAGTGTGTTAGTGAAGCCAGGGAGCTCTCAGGTTGTGTGAGTGTGTTAGTGAAGCCAGGGAGCTTTCAGGTTGTGTTGAGTGTGTTAGTGAAGCCAGGGAGCTCTCAGGTCAGGTTGTGTTGTTAGTGAAGCCAGGGAGCTCTCAGGTCAGGTTGTGTTGTTAGTGAAGCCAGGGAGCTCTCAGGTCAGGTTGGTGTTGTTAGTGAAGCCAGGGAGCTCTCAGGTCAGGTTGTGTTAGTGAAGCCAGGGAGCTCTCAGGTTGTGTGGAGTGTTAGTGAAGCCAGGGAGCTCTCATGTTGTGTGGAGTGTTAGTGAAGCCAGGGAGCTCTCATGTTGTGTTAGTGAAGCCAGGGAGCTCTCAGGTCAGGTTGTGTTGATTGTGTTTAGTGAAGCCAAGGAGCTCTCAGGTCAGGTTGTGTTGTGTTAGTGAAGCCAAGGAGCTCTCAGGTCAGGTTGTGTTGTGTTAGTGAAGCCAAGGAGCTCTCAGGTCGGGTTCCTTCTCAAGGACTTGTGTATACCATTTATAAATATTTACGCCAAACACGACAATATTTGTGGAAAAAGCACTTTTGTACAGTTCAGAACATTAGAGGAAACGTTTCGCCACATGGGATTAGATAAGCAATCGTTAGATTACGGAAGATAAAAGAGTTAGTCATTTTTAATTTTCTCATCCGAATAAATTCATCTGTATTGTGGAACAATACACAGTCAAACCTCAGTCTATTACGTACACCATGAAAGGACGGGTGAGACAGGATGGGTGAGGTAGGACAAGACGGGTGAGACAGGATGGGTGAGGTAGGACAAGACGGGTGAGGCAGGAAAGGTAGGGCAAGATAGGCGACGCAGGATGTGTAGGGCAAAGACAGGTGTTACAGGACAGGTGTTGCAGGACAGTGAGGCAGGGTTAGGGCGTTGGAACATTAGGGAGAGCGTGTCAGTGAGTCAGGTAGGTTTTTATCAGTGGCTGCCAGCCTGCCGTCACACAGGTAACTATTGGTGCTACCAGTAGATGAAAGCATTGGTAACTGCCAGCCTGCCATCACACAGGCAACTACTGGTGCTACCAGTAGATGAAAGCACCGGTAACTGCCAGCCTGTCCTTACACAGGCAACTACTGGTGCTACAACACAGCAATGCCACTATCACATCTGCGAGGAAACTGATAGGATGGATAATGACAACATTCAAGACGAGATGCTAAGCCAATGATCTTTTTTAAATTACTTATTCTCTCTAGGCTGGAATACTACTATACATTAACATCCCCATTCAAGGCAGGTAAAATTGCAGAACTAGAGAATGTACAGAGAACCTTTACTTCACGTATAAGTTCCATCAAACACCTTAACTACTGGGAGCGCCTGGAAGCACTTGACTTGTACTCACTAGAGCGCAGGCGAGAGAGATGTATCATAATCTACACCTGGAAGATTCTGGAGGGACTGGTTCCTAATATGCACACAGAAATCACTCTATACGAAAGCAGAAGACTTGGCAGGCGATGCAACATACCCCCAGTGAAAAGTAGGGGCGTCACTGGTACACTGAGAAAACTCAATACGTGTCCGGGGCCCAAGACCGTTCAACAGCCTCCCACCAGCAATAAGGGGCATTACCGGTAGACCCCTGGTTGTCTTCAAGAGGGAGCTGGACAGATACCTAAAGACGGTGCCGGATCAGCCGGGCTGTGGTTCGTACGTTGGATTGCGTGCGGCCAGCAGTAACAGCCTCGTTGATCAGGCCCTGATCCACCGGGAGGCCTGGTCGTGGACCGGGCCGCGGGGGCGTTGATCCCCGGAATGCCCTCTAGGTAGACCAGTAGATGAGAGCACAAGTAACTGCCAGCCTGCCGTCACACAGGTAACTACTGGTGCTACCAGTAGATGAAAGCACCGGTAACTGCCAGCCTGCCGTCACACAGGTAACTGGCGCTACCAGTAGATGAAAGCACCGGTAACTGCCAGCCTGCCGTCACACAGGTAACTGGTGCTACCAGTAGATGAAAGCACCGGTAACTGCCAGCCTGCCGTCACATAGGTAACTGGTGCTACCAGTAGTTGAAAGCAGTAACTGCCAGCCTGCCGTCACACAGGTAACTACTGATGCTACCAGTAGATGAAAGCAGTAACTGCCAGCCTGCCGTCCCACAGGTAACTACTGATGCTACCAGTAGATGAAAGCAGTAGCTGCCAGCCTGCCGTCACACAGGTAACTACTGATGCTACCAGTAGATGAAAGCAGTAACTGCCAGCCTGCCGTCCCACAGGTAACTACTGATGCTACCAGTAGATGAAAGCAGTAGCTGCCAGCCTGCCGTCACACAGGTAACTACTGATGCTACCAGTAGATGAAAGCAGTAACTGCCAGTCTGTCGTTACACAGGCAACTACTGGTGCTACCAGCAGGTGGATGTATCAGTAATCAGGTGACGTTAGGGGAGGGGGGCAGGGGATGGTAATTATCAGGTGACGTGGGGGACAGGGGATGATAATCAGGTGACGTAGGAGGCAGGGGATGGCAATTATCAGGTGAAGTGGGGGACGGGATGATAATCAGGTGACGTAGGGGGCAGGGTATGGTAATTATCAGGTGACGTGGGGGCAGGGGATGGTAATTATCAGGTGATGTGAGGGGGGGCAGGGTATGCGTTGCGGTGACGTCATGTCCCTGGCATGTACAACTTCCGGCGCTCTGAGGTCGTCAACGCTACAATTACCTTTTTCCGCCAACAGCTTACCTGGGATTTTGTGTGGGGAGGGAAGGGGGGGGGATTATTGACGTACATTTCCTTCACCTCCCCCTCCTGTTCCTCTATAATGTAAGTGGTGATGTCTGTCCCGAAATTATGTACCTCGGTGTTTTTATGATCCCGGAGAGTTTCGAATTTCCCTTTGAAGTGCTTAAAGTGAGTGTGTGTGTGTGTGTGTGTGTGTGTGTGTGTGTGTGTGTGTGTAAGTGTGTAAGTGTGTAAGTGTGTGTAATTAAGCCTGCATTTCGGAAAACTCTTAATAAATGATTTTGACTGTCAAGGACTGGAAGCTGAGGTGCAACACGTAGTAACTCGACGTTCCATCACTACACTGTGTACCGGCCTTCGCAGAGTATTTCCACCTCTAACTGCCGTTCCTTAAGTACTGAATAAATGTACTTAATGAAACCAACAGATGAACAGGTACATGGATAGCTGATGGATTCTTGCGCTTTTATTGATAGGTTTATGCTAGTGACACGTGTCCCTGGAGTTATCCCACAAATTCTTGATGATCCACTAGAAAGCCTGGTCTTGGACCGGACCACGGGGGGCGTTGACCCCGGAAAATGTCCTTCAAATAACTCTCAGGTGGAAAATTCTGTTCTCAAATAGTGAGGGAGATCTGTAAAAAGGAAATCCTTGGGCGACTTAGCTGTGTTATGCGAAGAGAAAGTTGTCCATCACAGTGTATAGTCACAGTAAAACTGCGCGTCACTTATGCCCTT